AGAAGCCCACCCCACTGTCAGACAATAACTAGCCTGACTCCAAGTTGGATGCGTTATACCTCAACCCCCCGAGCCCTCCTTCAGTTAGAGGTTCACAGCCTCCAAGCCTCAATTTCCTCCTGTGCAGATGAGGGTGGTACCATCAAACTCACCAAGTCTGCTTTGGAGTACGGTAGTGATATTGGAGGTGCTGCAGCCACCTTGAGACCAAGAGGACAAACATCACACACTAAAGAGAACAGAACAACCAGAAGTATATGTCCCTGGCTATTTCCTTAAGAAACCCGAACAACTCAAATGGCCACTTCAGGGCTTTGTGCTACAGGTGGAAAAACAAAACATAGCTGGTTGAGCCACTTAGCGGGGTTTCTGTCGAGCCTGACTGTATTGCTGCTAGGACTCTTGTCGTAATGAGTCACCACGGCCACACAGATGTCATGGCATGGGCAGGGCACTTGGCCTCCAGCAGCAAGACTCCTCTGGACCTGCAAAACAACTCAATAGGTAAAGCATTGGCAGGGCAACCCTGATGACCTGAGCCTGGTCCCTAGAACCCACAGAAAGGCAGAAAAGTGAGAAGTGACTCCTTCAAATTGTTCTCTGACCCCCACACAAGCACTGTGTTGCACATGGTCACAATGCGTGCATGCTCGGGTGCACACACACACACACACACCATGTACATGAACAATAATAAGTTAATCTCAAAACCCAAAAGACTTGCTGGGCAGTGGTGGTGCACACCTTTAATCCCAGCACTCAGGAGGCAGAGACAGGTGGATCTCTGTGAGTTCAAGGCCAGCCTGGTCTACAAGAGCTAGTTCCAGGACAGCCAGGACTATTACATAGAGAAACCTTATCTGAGTAAACAAAACAAAACAAAAATCCCAAAGACTCATTAACAAATCCCTGCTTTCAGGGGGCGGAGGCAGGAGGATCACGGGTTTAGAAGCAGCCTGAGCTAAGATCCCATGCCCTGAAACCCAGGGCTGGAGGTAGGGCTAGTGGTAGAGAAGTATGCATACACAGAGCCCTAGGTTTCACTCCCAAAACAAAACACTCAAGAGCCCAACAGGTCCCAATGCCTGACTGTCCTGCTCCTTCAAGCACTCAGAGACTGGCTTCTGGGGAGCAGGAGAGAGAAAGGTGGAGGTGGGAAGGATAGCCCAGAAAACAGCTCCTCAGCCACGCGCCACCCACCGGGACAAGTCCATGACTGTGATGGGGCCAGGGCGCCTTTCTCTTCCGCCTTCCTTGTCTAGCCGGGAGGAAAAGGCCAGAGAAGTCCTGAAGGAGCACACTGTAGGAACATGCAAGCTCCACTCCTCCGCACAGTGGCGAGCTCCAGCCACGTTCAGAGACGCCACCGGAAGCCGGAGGAGGCAAAGATCTGTTTTGTTTCTAACACAATTAACTAATGCTGGACAGCAGTGTGGTGTCCTGGAGAGGAAGTGGCCCCAGGGAAGGCAGCAGCACCCATCCACCCCCCTTCACCGTGGGGAGCTGCTCCCACTGAGTGCTCCTGGATAGGAGCACCCGGACCGACAGTAGGTACTGCAGTTAATAGGACAGCGGTGACAGCCCACGGGACACGGCATGGCCACGGCAAAAAATGCTTCTTTAATTCTAAAACTGTATTTAAAAAAAGAAAAAACAGGCTGGAGAGATGGCTTGGAGGGTTAGAGCGGTTACTGCTCTTGCAGAGGACCCAGTTGGGTTCCCAGCACCCACATGGTTGCTCATGGTCACCTGTAACTTCAGGTCTAGGGGATGCGACAGCCTCTTCTCCTCAGGTATCAGGCACACACAGTGTGCATACATACATGCAGGCAACACATTCATACACATAAAATAAAAGAAATCTTTAGAAAAAATAGGTGTGCTGACTTTTGTTTGTTTGCTTTGCTTTTCAAGACAGGGTTTCTCTGTGTAACTTTGGAGCCTGTCCTGGAACTCGCTCTGTAGACCAGGTTGACCTCGAACTCCCAGAGATCCACCTGCCTCTGCCTCCCAAGTGTTGGGATTAAAGGCGTGTGCCACCACTGCCCGTCTATGTGGGCTAGTTTTATGTCAACGTGACACAAGCTGGAGTCATCTGCGAGAAGGGTACCTTGATTGAGGAAGTGCCTTCATAAGATCCAGCCACATAAAAATCTGTGGGGCATTTTGTTAATTAGTGATTGATGGGGGAGGGCTCAGCCCATTGTGAGGCGGTGCCACCCCTGCCTGGGGTGGGGAGAAATGTCAGTTGTGGGAGAGACAGGCAAGCTTCATCTCCCTCTGCAACAGAGGAACATGAGGCCTGGGGGCATCTCTGGGCCATAACTGCCACTGACTCAACTGGTGTAGCTGGCATCTGATTCCAGCCCCGCCTGGCTGCAGTGTCAGGGCAACCCTGGAGCAGCCCCAAGGGGTTGGGATGAACTTTCTCAAGGACCCAGAGGTCCCCTCAGCACTCAGAGACTACGCCCTCGCAGCCTCGGGTCTGCACTATGCGGCACCCCCTGTAGTCCCTGCACTCAAAGTGGAGGCAGGAGGATCAGGAGTTCAAAGCCATCTTTAGAGACATAACAAATAACAATCCAGGGCCCATCTCCATTCAGAAGCTCAAGCTGAGAGAGCATGGTGCCACATGCCTGTCATACCAGCACTTACATGCCACATGCATGTCGTCCCAGCACTCAGAGACAGGAGAAAGTTTCAAATCAGTATGAGCTGGCTACATAGTAAGTTCAAGGCTAGCGCCAGGTTATACAGGAAGATAAAACAGAGGTGCAGCTCTCAGCTGCCTGAGAGAGCACACCAGGACTGTACTCCTGTGAGGTGCAGGGAGCAGGTCAACAACTCTGTTTAGTATGTCTGTCTATTCAGCATGCCTCAGTCTCCCTACCTGGCTAACTTGTCTGCAGGCCCTGTGGAGCCTGTGGGCCTTGAGGTGGCCACGGCTATTCCCTGAGACTGTTGAGTTTGCTGGCTGGAGGCCAGTACGTTCCTAGTACCTGCCCTGAGCCCCAAGGGTGTGGGAAGCAACTGCAGTCACATCACATGGTGTCTGCTAGGTACACAATGTCCCGGAGCTAGGAACTGCAACACAGACATGCTTTTAATAAGGGAGACAGCTTGGGAAAGCTGGGACCACACGGCTGGGCTGGAATTCAGACTGGCCTCTTCCTGGGCCCGTCCTTCATGGTGGCATATGCCTTTAATTCCAGCACTCAGGAAGCAGAGGCAGGCAGATCTCTTTTCCAGGATGTTGGTTTACATAGCTAGCTCCAGGACAGCCAGGGCACATAAAGAGATCTTGTTGCAAAAAAGAAAAATCAAAACGAAACAAAACAACAACAAAAATTGGGTTTCTCTGTGCTCTGGGCCTGTCCTTCCTTCAGGGACCACACCTGGCTGTCTGGCTTGGAGCACTGGTGTCTCTGACTGGCCCGCCATCTTTCTAAACTCTGAGACAGCTCTAGGAAGGCCCCTTCCCATTCACCACGAACCTCAGAGTCTGCCTGGAAACACTCTTGCCCTGCAGCCACAGGAAGGCCACTGGGGTTCCCTAAGCATTGACCCCAGCAACCTGCACAGAAGGTATCATCTCATCAGGCAGTACTGGAAAGTTCCTAGACAACCTGAAGATCTGCAGAACACTGGCCACTACACCCTGGGCACAGGGACAGCCAGGTATCAAGACTCCTGTGGCTTAACAGTGTGTAATTCAACTTAGGGGTCACAACTTGTGCCCTAAGTCAGGCCCAGCTACCTGTCCTCACTAAGACAATTTGTTTGTTTTTCTAGACAGGGTTTCTCTGTGTAACAGTCCTAGCTGTCCTGGAACTGGCTCTTGTAGACCAGGCTGGCCTTGAACTCAGAGACCACCTGCCTCTGCCTCCCTGTGCCACCACCGCCCGGCCTCACTAAACCAATTTAAAGAACCGTATTTAAAATAGAAAGTAGAAAAGATTTATTCAATGTGGCCACGCTGAGAAAAAGGACAAAGAGATCCAGCAAAGGCCCCCAAATCCACTGTTCCGGAAGTAAGATCAAAGTTTGAAGAGAAGTCAGGGATTCGCATAGCTAGGCAGTCTGGGCAGAGGTGGGCTCTAAGTCCAGCTGTGGCCCATCCACCACTGACCTGTTGGCATCTGGGTTTCAGCCTCTTCATCCCCTGGACCTGTGTGAAATCTTTTCTGAGAGACACATCTCTCTTGTGGCAGGTGCTTTTTTCTTCTCTCAGCATGAGGTTTCCATTTCTCTAGGGTCTGTTGTTTTAATAGTCTGATAGATTGAGAGACACGAGTCTACTGTGCCTGTTACGGAGGGTGAGGCTGGCTGGCGTGCACAGGGTTCTGGCTTCCCGTCCCTTCTTCCACCTGGACACAAGTCCTGGGCCCCAGTGCTGGCTTCTAAGTGTTCTGTGACTGCAAAGAGAGGAAGAATCAAGAAAAAGGGTCCACGGGGCTGGAGAGATGGCTCAGCAGTTAAGAGCACTGACTGTTTTTCTTTTTTTCTTTTAATTTCTTTTATTTTTTTTTAAAAAAGAAAACAGACTATCATTTTTTTTTTCACTTTACATGCCAATCCCAGTTCCCATTTCCTCCTCTCCTCCCATTCCCTCCACCTATCCCCCCCCCCCCCCCCCCCCCCCCCCCCCACCCAATCCCCAGAGAGGGCAAGGCACATTGCTCTGAGGAAGGACCAAGGCCCTTCTCACTATATCCAGGCCTGGGTTCAATTTCCAGCACCTATATGGCAGCTTGCAACTGCCTGTAACTCCAAGATCTGACACCCTCACACCACATAGACATACATGCAGGCAAAACAGCAATGCACATAAAATAAAAATAAATTAAGAAAGAAAAGAGGTTCAGCTCTTAGCCTTAGCGCCATCTTCCTCGACACTCCTGCGCCACAAGGGGTGGGGGGGCGGGGGAGGAAGAAGAGAATGCGCAGGCTGAAGCGCAAGAGAAGAAAGATGAGGCAGAGGTTCAAGTAAACTCGCCTATTCATCCATGAAGGCCGAAGGAGCAGAAGTAAGGGACGCTGGAGGTCCGGACACTGGTACAAGTCGGACTGAGCTGCTGTCGGAAGAAATCTCTGGACCCACGACCTCACCCCCTGCTCGCAGAGACCACCGAGAGACTGCCTGCCGTCATGACAACAGCCCTGTGGGCCCTTTGCCCTGGACCAATGGCGTTCTGGACTAGTTCTGTCCTCACTTGTGGCCAATTGTAACTTGTGTACAATAAATCATCTTTCTCGCTGTCAGCTGATTAAAAAAAAAAAAAAAAAGAGGTTCAGAAAATACTCCAAGCCCCCTTGACTCCCTAGGGACCCAGCCCCTCCCACTACAAGCCCTGGTTTGTCTCCACCACCTCAGCGCTTTGTCCCCAGTGAGAAGGCCATCTATAACTTAGCAGTTCCAAGTGAGTTGGGGGCTCATCTTACAGGAGGGTTGGACTGGGTGCCTCTGGGCCCAGCATTCCACCTTCAGATCCCCACCTGACAGCGCCTGCCCCCAGTCTGTCTTGTTTACTCCGCCTGCAAACGTCCAGCCGACTGAACTCGCACAGCATCTTGGGAGAATCTCCAGGGAGATCGGCCGAGACAAAAAGCCAGTCCCAGCAGATGCCAGGCTGTGGGATCCATTTATAGAACAGTTTGAAATGGTGACATTCTGGAAATGGAGGGCCGATGGGTGTTGCAAAAAGTGGAGGAAGGCAAGGGGAGTCTAGAAGGTTGTCTCGAGGTTCCCTCTGAGCATCTTGACTCGGGTGGTTAAAAAGCAAACCAAATAGGGTGGCTTGGGATCCCAACACTGAGGAGGTGGAGGCATGAAGGTAAGACTTTAAGGTCATTCTCAAGGGCATAGGGAACCTAAGGCCAGCCTGGGCTACATGAGGCCCTGTCTCGAAAGACCAAAACCTGGTACAGCTATTGGAGATGTAAAACAGACTACCTGGGGGTTGACCCATGGGTGGGCGGTGGAGGCAGAGGTCAAGGCCAGAGGCACTCACAAATACATACATACATACATACATAAAGGCAAAAGGGGGACCAAGGAGACTGGCGGATTCGATGAGCACACAGCATAAGCCTGGGCACCTGCACAGCCTGGTGTGCTGCATTTGCTGCAGGAATCAGGTTTGCTAGTTAGATCAAGCTGACCTACAACTCACTACGTAGCCCGGGCTAGCCTTGAACTCATAATCTTCCTGCATCAGCCTTCTGAGAGCTGGGTGGGATTCATCCATGAGTCACTTTACCCAGGTTCCCAGGCCCCTACAAATTGCATGCAAATCTGAAACTTTCCTCTCACCTTGGACACCCCTAGGACAAGGTCTCACAGTTACCAAACCGAGCATCTTTCTCTTTCCCAGAGGTCCCGTATCCCAGACACCATTCTGCCTCCAGACCTTTGTCCTGCACAAAACTCCTGACTCTGGGCCATTAGCTGTCTTAGCAAGCCCACTCCCACCCTGCACCACAAAGACTGAAAAAAAAAATCCCCTCGTTTGTGAATGAATGGATGAATGAATATCTGGGAATGAAAAAGTTAAGCTTGGCCCGGCTGGGGAAGGCAGGACTGAGAGAACTGAAGAATTCAGGGAGTGTGGCAGAGAGCGTAGCCTGCTGAAGGGTGTCTTCAGGCTCACCTCCTACTATGGATGCTCTCATTAGAAGCTGAGATGGTGTGTGGAGAATATTGCTGAAGTTGCCTCACAGAGGCGCCCACCATCCCCCAAACCATCCTGTGTGGCTCACAGAATGAGGGTGGGAATGAAGACTCCAGTCACAGAGGACTTCAGATCTGCACTCTGGCACCCACCCACGGAGCAGTTAGTACCAGGAGTGGGGTCTCTTCACCCACCTCAGTGAACTGTGTCCCACTACCAAGATCCCCATCTCTTTCGTGTGTGTGTGTGTGTGTGTGTGTGTGTGTGTGTGTGTGGTGAGTGTGTATGTGTTCAGGGAACAATTTCAGTCAGTTCTTCCGCCTGCCATGTGGCCCCACGGGGATCAAACAGCACGCAGACATGGTGGCAAGCACCTTTACCCACTTAACCATCTCACCAGCCCACTGGCCCTCTCTCTAGCAGTGTGACTCTGGCCAAGTTACCAAACTCTCTCTGTTCTCAGACCAGGAGGCCAAGGCTGCCGAAGGCACCTACCTCACTGAGTATGATTCCCACTCAACCGCAAGGTGCTTAGAAAGCAACGCTCAGTGAATGCTGCTAATTTCATTACTGTTACAGCCCCAGAGCTCACGCTTGGTTTAAACGCCATCATTAGCTCGTGAACAGAACAGGTGTGTAGTTTTATGTTGTCGCGTTTTTAGAATTAAAATGAATGAGAACACTTAGACTAAATCACAGTTGCACGGTTTGGTTTGGGCAGGCTTCGAGCTGTAATTTACAAGGTGCCTCAGGAGGAGCCGCTCTGGGACATTTCTCAGCTATTAAGAGGCTTGGCTCTGTCAGTAGGAAGGCCTGGCTCACAGGAGGTGCTGGCCAGACAGGGGGAGCAACAGCAGGCCACCTGGGCAGAGTCATGCCAGGAACCTGCTAGCAGCCTCCTTCTTCCCTGTGGCCTCCCTTTCTCCCGAAGCACAGACGGACGGACCATTGCCACCAGGGCTCCTCCTGAAAGTCCCCAGAATACACCCAAGGGATATGCTGCTCAGGGTCTCTGCAGCAGGGTGCATACCACAAAGAATAGCCAGACATGGGCATGGAAGGGGCGGGATGGAGGCTGGGGAGCTGCAGTGCTCGGCCCAAGTCCCAGTGGGTACTTAGGGGTCTGGAGATAGGAGCTTCCCTGCCCTTGCTTCTCACTCCATTTGCTCCCGGGGGCTCCCGGGTTCATTATTAGGAATTTCCAAGTTACAGGAACTTTGTCCCTGACTCTGGGTCTGGCAAAGGGACAAAGGACTTGCCAGAGTCGACACCTAGGGAACCCGCTGTTAATGACATGTTGCTTAATTTTTTGGTAAAAAATTAAGCACAGACAAAAGGAACTCAAGTACCTCTGAGGCAATGAAGGAGCAGGTCTCACACTATATGGGTTCATTTATGTCCTAACAAGGATGTTAGGGTTCAGGGTGGGGCTGTGTGTGCCCACCTTGAGAACCTGTCCTGACCTGGTAGCAGGGTGGGGGTGCTGAGTAGGAAGTTGTGGGATGGGAGTAACTCCAGCCTTACATCCTCCTTGGGAGGAACAGATTCCCATACGGTCTCAGGGCAGGGAGGAAAAACTCTATATACACATGTGTCCATGTGTCTGCAATGATCTGTCTCTTTAAGAGACAAGCCATGCCCACTCCCTCCCCCATCCGCTGAGGCAAGCTGATCTTTAGCTTCCAGCCTGAATCTCTCTTTTCCATCTTCTTCTGAAGAGGCAGCTTCTGCCTCTCCAGACTTCTTCCCCCGCCCCCCCCCTCCGCTCTTCTCCCTTCCCTCTCCATAACCCTAATAAATATCTACCCTCACTCTGCATGATGTGCCTATCCATCTGTCTCTCACCCACTGCCACATGGAACGCCACCTGGGACCAGCCACCTTCGGAGGCCAGGTCCCGTGCTCAGTCCCTGCCTAGGGACCCGCTGCCCCCTGCCTGCCACCACTTGGGAACCCTGCAGTGTTTCCCCGCAGCAATTTTTAATGATCCTTTACCGTGTCCATGTGTGTATACATGTGAAGGGCAGAGGTCAACCATAGGTATTAGAAATATGTTCAGGGCCACAAAGATAGAAACTTCACTCCAACAGAAGTGTCAGGACAAGGCAAACTTTGTTTGTTTGTTTGATTGTTTTGTTTTTCAAGACAGGGTTTCCGCAGGACAGTGGTGGTGGTGCACGCCTTTAATCCCAGCACTCGGGAGGCAGAGGCAGGAGGATCTCTGTAAATTCGAGGCCAGGCACAAAACTCCTGACTCTGGGCTGGGCTGTCTGGGCAGGCTTCACCCTATGGCCCTGGTCTACAAGAGCTAGTTTCAGGACAAGCTTTTAAAAAAAAAAAAAAAAAAAACACCCTACAGAGAAACCCAGTCTCGAAAAATCAATAATAATAATAGTAAAAAGACAGGGTTTCCTCTGTGTTAACAGTACTTGGCTGTCCTGGAACTCACAGGCAGATTCACCTGCCTCTGCCTCCCAATGTGTGTGTGTGTGTGCCAGAATGCACAAATGGAGGCCAAAAGAGAACTGTCAGGAGTCTGTTCTCTCCTCTCTGGCACTTGGACAAAAGCCAGCACCCTCTCCGGGAACTTGGGAAAACAGCTTCTGCTGGCAAAAGGAAGCATCCTCCTAACAGGGTGCAAAAGGGGCCTCAGCCGCTTCCTTTTGCACACACCTGCGGTTCCATTAGCATATCAAGGTCTCCCTAATCCCTACTCAACAAGCACCTGTTCTGAATTTCAAAGTCCTCCATCCCAGTTTACAGGCTCCCCTCCTCCTGGGTACCTCTCTGCTTACAACCCTAGAAATCCCACACCCACATCCATCATTTCTCTCCGCTTTCCTGAGAGACAGCCTTGCTGGAGGAGAATGAACTTTTCCCTGTTTACTTTTATTTTTATTTTTCATTTTTCAAGACAAGATTTCTCTGTAGACTTGGAGCCTGTCCTGGAACTAGCTCTTGTAGACCAGGCTGACCTCAAACTCACAGAGATCCCCCTGCCTCTGCCTCCTGAGTGCTGGGATTAAAGATGAGCACCACCACCGCCCGGCTTGACTGGAGTTGTGTACTAATCCTCTTTTACACTGTAAAGATTTGTCACTTGAATTGGTTTTACTAAAACACTGATTGTCCGGGTAGCCATGCAGGAATTATGGGCCGGACAACTAAATGGAATGATGGGAAGAAGGGCGGAGTTGCGGGAGCCTCTGAGGAAGCAGGGCATGTAGAAAATGAGGCAACAACTCATGAGCCAAGTGCTGAAGAGATATGGGTTAATTTAAATGTAAGAGTTAGGGGCTGGAGAGATGGCTCAGTGGTTAAGAGCACTGACTGCTCTTCCAAAGGACCTGGGTTCAATTCCCAGCACCCACATGGCAAACAACTGTAACTCCTTCACACAAACATTCATGCAGGCAAAGCACCAGTACACATAAAGCAAAAATAAGTTATTAAAAAATAAGAGGTAGTAACAAGCCTGAGCTTTTTTTAATTTAATTTAATTTTTAATTTAAATTAGTCTCTGAGTCAGTTATTTGGGAGTAGCCGGTCAGGACAGGGAAACTCTACCTACAGACTGGTTTTATTTTTAGACTGGAGTCTCATATGTCCAAGACTGATCTTGAACTTGCTATATAGCTGAAGATGATATTTGCAAGGTGCTGGGGTCACAGACACATGCCACCATGCCTGGCTGCGCATTCTTTTTTTTAACGCAGGGTCTGGAAATCAAATTTGGACACTCATACTTTTGAGGCAAGGGCGAATTAACTGTTCACTTGGGGAACTACTACAGGAAGCTGGAGGGGCAGTGGTGGGTCCCCTTAGCCTTGGGCCACTACCCACAACCATCAACCACCTGGACTGATAACCAAGGTGGGCGTCAGGCCTCCCAGGGGAGTCTGGCTGTGTCTGACACCTTTCTGGTCAGATGTTCTGGGCATCCCAGTAGGGGTGGGGTGCTTTAATCACACAAGCTACCACAAAAGCCCCAGGCATCAGAGGACAACACAGTTTTGGGAGAGGGTGTTGCTGAGTGTGTTCCACCAAATAAGAAGGTGGGGTACTTCTTAGTATGTTTATACAAATAGCCCCCCAAAATAAAATCTCTTCATTGTCATCAAGGGCATCCAATTTGCTCTGCTCAAAGTTTTAACAAAAACACAATGTAGAAATATTTCTGGAGCAGTGAGGAGGCTTAGCCAGTAACAGGACTTTGTTGTCAAGCCAACAGATGGAGTTCCACCCTCCCAAGGTCCCGCATGGTAGAAAGATCCAACTCCCACAAACTATCCTCCAAGTCAGACATGGTGGTGCTTGGTGCTCACCTTTGACAAGCAGAGGCAGTGAATCTCTGTGAGTTCAAGACACACCCTGGTCTATAAAAGCAAGGGTTCCAAGCCAGTCGGGGTCACACAATGAGGTTCTGTCTCAAAAAACAAAACAAAACAAAAAATTGTACTCTGCCCACTACAGGTGTGCTGTGGTATGTGTCACTCACACACAAACACAGAGACACACACACACACACACAAATAAATATGATAAAATCCCTCAAAGACTACTTTTTAAAATGCCTTTGGCTCTCTAAGTCAGCCTGCTCCTAGACTTCCCCTCTGAAGTCACCACTCCAGCATGGCTGTGTAGGAGGCTGGGTGCAGGGGAGGTGTGGGACTCTGGCCCTCCATCTTTGCTTCACTGTTAGCCATCTGTCCTGCTGCGTTTTTACCACAAGGACTGCTGAGGGCAGGAGGAGAAGGAAGCCGGTTCTGGGCTGCCAGCGGGCGCCTGGAACCTCTTCTGGCAGATTTGTGTTTGAGCAAGAGGCCTCCCTGCTCCAGCCCGGGCAGGCTCCACCCTATGGCCCTCCAGGGGCCCCCGCTGGGGGAGCAGGGCCCCTGCGAAGCCTCTCACCCGATGGATGGGGGGAGGGGAGGGGAGGGACTCTCGACTGAGCACTCAAGGACGACTCCTACAGGCCCGTCGGGGCAAGGCAGCATTGCCCACGGCGGCCATTGCTTCCCTCCCAGCTCTTTGCAGCCCGAGAAATAGCCAGAGCTGGAAGTCCTGCAAGGGCCTTAGACACTGTCAGAAATCTCTGGCTTTTATTAAGTCCCTACTGGGTGCACAACCCTTTCGGAAGAGCACACGCCCTTGGTGGGTACTAGAAATGTAACTGGGCAGATGGTGGCTTAGGAGAGATGCCCCCCAAGGTCTCACGGGAACTTCACAGCTGGGACCAAATCCTACCTGCCGCTTGCCACCAGGGACAGGATGGAGGCTGTGGTCCACCTCAGCGCAGAACGTAGGCAGGAAGAGGGACGCTGTGAAGTCTGTTCCTTATAAACTGGATACACCTGTGTCTGGAGTAGTCCAGGAAGTCAAAAGCTGGGGCCAAGGCTAAGAGCTGGGAGGTGTGAGTGGGAGCTAGTGTGGCCTCGTAGATAGATGTCCCTTCCTCCATGCTCCTGGTCTCAGTGGCCTCTGCAGGGGTGGGGTGAGAGGCAGGAAGGTCAGGAGTTCAAAATCGTCTCTCGCTAATCTGAGGATAACCTAGAACTTCTGATCCTCCTGCCTCCACGTCCCAAATGCCGGGATTACAGGAGTGTACCACCATGCCCAATCCAAGGCAGGCTGGGGGTTGAACATGCTAGGCAAACCCCAATCTTCATATAATATAAAACTCCTGCCAAGCAGTGGTGGCACGGGCCTTTAATCCCAGCACTCGGGAGGCAGAGGCAGGTAGATCTTTGTGAGTTCGAGGTCAGCCTGGTGTACAAAGTGAGTTCCAGGACAGCTAGAGCTAAACATTGAAACCCTGTCTCAAAAAACAAAAACAAACAAACAAATGAATAAAACAACTTCTGGCTGGGCAGTGGGGATGCACACCTTTAATCCCAGCACTTGCGAGGCAGAGACAGACAGGTCTTTCTGAGTTCGAGGCCAGCCTGGTCTGCAGAGTAAGTTCCAGTATAGCTACACAGAGAAACCCTGTCTTGAAAAAGCAAACAAAACAAAACAACAACAAAAAACTCCTAAGTTTGAAGCCAGCCTGATTTGCGTGACAAGTCCCTGGCCAGCGGGACTACAAAGTAAGACCTTGCTTCAAAGAAAACAAAAAAGTTCTGATGTCTAAATTTTTTCCCTAAAGGGGAAAATCTGGCCCCATCTCCCTACTGCTTTCGGGGTCTCAACCTTGAGCTGTTGTGGCCAAAGCGTCCTCTCTCCCATCAGCACCTCTGACCTCCTAGGCAGACTGGGATCTTCTGGCCTCCTGATCTCCTCTGGCCCCTTTGGACCAAGGGTGAAAGTCCAGGCTAGGCCACTATGGCCAGACTGCCGTGTGGGAAGTGGGCACTGGCCCAGCTGGCTCTGCCCTTGGTCCCGGAGGTCTCCTTCCCTGGAAAGCGCCTCTCCTGGAGACAATTAATCAAAGTGACACCTCGTGAACAAGATATTTTGGCTTGGCAGAAACAAACAGAGGTTTACAACAAATCCGTGAGCTCCTGCGTGATCCTCCAGCACGCCAGCTAAGGGCAGAGCCAGGCAGGCTGCAGATCTGGCGGCACCTACTGTGGTGGCTTCGTCTTCTGCACAGCTGAGGCTGCGCAGCTACAGGCCTGACTCTCAAGCTCTCTCGTCACAAACCAGAACCTTCTGTGGGTGGGAGGCTCTTTGTCTGAGGCTGAGCTCTGACCTAGTCCTCTCCTTTAACTGGACAAGAGGCCCAAACCCCTGAAGTGAGGGTTCTGGAAAGTTCAGAGCTCAGCATGAAATGTTTCCAGCTTAGGGCATTCTTAGGAGCAGGAGTCTACCTTGGACATCCAGGGACCCTGCTGAGCTCCAGGGTGAAAATCTGTGCGTGGTGCCACCCGCTCTGAAGGGGATTCCACTCCTGCCCTACACAGCCTGTCTAGCAACGATCAGTACATTCTACTGGCCCTGTTTCTGTCTGGCTTTCCGACTATTGAAAGAACAGACCCTAAGAAATAAAAACTTTCCCGGGATTCTCCTGTTGGGAGAATTGGCTGAAGCCTGGGGCAATAGAGGGGTGGGGGAACTGGTCATCTGAAGGAAGAGTAACCGTTAACCAGATGACCACGCATGAGAGCTGGAGCAGAGAAGGGGTGGGGGGCGGGAGGTGGGGGGGATGAGTGGGGGTATGGGAGGTGAGGGATGGTGTCACACCTTAACTGTTGGGTTCTGCAAATCTCTTGCTTTCTATTTAAACCCCACCCTCAGGTCAGGACCCCTGAAGGACTTGGGAAGTCCCTGGATCATTTTCTCTTCCTGATGTGGCCACGCTAAGTAAACCCACCCTTTTCTGCTTTGTAATATACTTACAGCATGCTACTTTAATGGGCTTGTTGAGGTCTGGTGTCCCAGACCTGGCAGACTGTGGTCTCAAGCTGGGTAACGCAGCTGGAAGACCTTCTATACTCCCCCCCCCCGCATTGTCCTTGAGACACCCGCGGCCTCTGGCTCTGCCCACTGGACTCCCCCACCAACATTCAGCTTCCCGACACTTCTCAAGCTCCACACTCAGTTGCACCTCCATGCCTTTGCACACACAGGCCAAGAGTAACGAGTCCAGACGACACACATTTATCATCCCGTTCTGTGTCCCCAGCCCTTCCTAGAGGCAATCCCTGATGCCCTAAGACCAGACTTGACCCCTTTAGACACAGCTGTTACTGAGTCTTAGCCTCTGGCCATTCCTGGGGTCCTCCCAGTAGATACAAGTTCTCAAGGTGCTGTAGGCTAAGAACAGGGTTCCTTGCACCCAACTGTGTGACCTTAGGCTAGTTACTTAACCTCTCTATACCTCCTTTTCTTCTTTTTTTAATAAATTTTTATTTTATGTGTATTGGTGTTTTTACTTGCATGCATGTCTGTGTGAGGGTGTCAGATACCCTCCAACTGGAGTTATAGACAGTTGTGAGAAGCCACTCCGGCCTCCTCCTCCTCCTGCCCCAGGAGACCTTTAGACACCAGGTTCTCTGCAAGCACAGCAGGCGCTCTTGACCGGTGAGGGTGGCTTTTTTGTTTGCTTTCGTTTTAATTATTACAAGGAGCTGTCTCTCCAGCCACCCCACCTACTTTTGTTTTTAAGTTAAAAAAAAAGTATTTTAAAATAGCAGTTCTCTAAATCCCCAGCCTTACTCCTGGAGCGGGAGGAGGTGGAAGTGGGTCCTGCCTCCAAGGCCTCATTCTGGACTCCGAAGGCATCAGCTGGCCACTTCTCTCAAGGGATGTGCTGTATCCCACCTGAAGTGGAGGCACACGGGACTGGAGAGATGCTCAGCCGTTAAGAGCACTGGCTGCTCTTCCAGAGGTTCTGGGACACAAGAAGCAGTGTCCACCCAGGGCAGGCAAGCATGGACTTGAGCCTGCATGGCAGCTTGGCTATGATGCGGGGAAGACAGAGCCGTCTTGGAGTCCCCAAGGCAGGCCTGGGGCTCAGAACATCAGGCAGCAAACAGAGCAGCAACCACATCCAAGTGACCAGGTTCAGAGCCAGGGTCTCTCACCGGCTCCCTGGCGAACCGCTCAACTCTTCACCGTTTCTTCATTTGTAAAAGAGAAACAAGGACAGGACTGTATTGTGGGGGTAGTGAGGGGCTGCAGGCAGCACCCTAGGAGTAGTGACAGCCTGGAGCCAGGGCTCTATACACACACACACACACCTGTGGCTCCCTTCCACCTTTCTTAGACAAACCCTTGGGGACCACGACCGCATCAGGGGCCCTGTGACTCATCTCCCTGGCAGGAGGCTTCCTGAGACAGGTCCCTACACGCAGGTCCTCTCCAGGAATGCTGGGGTAAGGCAGTGGGGGATGGGGAGTGAGAGGTGCAGGTCCCAGCATGAGGATCCTATGAGCCCATGACAGGAGAAGGGACTGGGGGCACTGGCCCCGCCCAGCTCTAACCTTCACCTCCACCCTCAGATTCCTCTGTGTCTGAGAATCCGGTGCAGCTGTGGGTGTGGTGGCATGGGGGATGTCACAGGTGGCGGGAGGACCCGGGCCACCACTGTCAAGACATTTGCAGGTTAAGAGTAATTCCCAAGTCCTTTGTCCTTCCCTTTCTGATGTTTCTCCAGAGCAGAGTTTCTCAACCTGTGGGTCATGACCCCTGCAGGGGTTGAACAACCCTTTCACAGGGGTTGCCTAAGACCATCAGAAAACACAAATATTTACATTACGAGTCATAACAGTAGCAAAATTACAGTCATAAGGTAGCAACGAAAATAATTTTATGGCTGGGGGTCACCACAACATGAGGAACTGTATTAAAGGGTCACCACATTAGGAAGGTTGAGAACCACTGCCCCAGAGCCACCTGTGGTCACCCAGGAACACAAACAATTCAGGGACAAGAAGGACAAGCCTTTCATGACTTCCCTGTCACTGGCTGCAGAAGGGCCATCCCAGAGGATTCCAGCAGCAGCTCCTGGCCTTGAGTTAGGGATGGCACCGGGTAGCTATCACTGGCCTCTGGAAGTGAGCAAGCTTGCAAGATTGGGTGGGGGCGGGGTAGGGGGGGTGGCTAATGCAAGTCTGGGTCTCCCAGATTAGCTGTACTGCCTGGCCAAACAAATGCATTGACAAAGGCCAGATTCTGCAGCACTCAGTAGGCAGAGGCAGGAGGATTAGGAGTTTGAGGCCAGCAGATTGGAAGCCAGCAGAGGAAGAGGCTACATGAAACACTGTCTCCAAAAGGGGTGGTGGTGGTGACCCGGCCCAACTGGTAAAGGCTGTACAAGCCTGGAAACCCAAGTTCGGTCTCTGGGACCCATCTAAAGGCAGAAGGAGACAACTGACTCTATTGTAATATTACCTTCTGACCTCCATGCATGATGTGATGCACATGTGTGCAGACACACACAGCTACACACACACACACACCTACACTAAATGCAGTAAATAAAGAGACTGAAATTTTTTAATGCAGAGAGCAACACCTGGTAGCAACCTGTGACTTCAAAGGTAGACCCTTTACCGGGCGCGTGGACACTGTCAGACCCTTTACCCGGCGCGTGGACACTGCCAGACCCTTTACCGGGCACGTGGACACTGCCAGACCCTTTACCGGGCGCGTGGACACTGCCACAGAAACTGGACACTGAGGATGGTAAATGAGCTGCTTGCATGGCAGACAACACAACATGGTTGTGGGGCAGGCGGGTGGGGGAACAACAGAGCAGGTGGAATCCAAGGAGCACGAGGCCAGACTGGCCAGTGAGGTAGACGAAGGTGAAGCCAAGGTTCTCTCCTGCCTGTCACTTACATGCCCTTGGCAACCATGGTCTCTTCTGGTATAAAATAGTGGGGGTGGGGGAAGCGCCCTCCTAGGGACACTGCAGGGGTGGGTACCAAAGACAACAGCATCCAAAGGGGGTGCGATGAGCCTGGCAGGAACCTGACCACAGTGTGAGGAGCAGCGACATCGTCAGCTCTACTGACATACGCTGGTTATAGCTCCGCCTTGGTGACCTGTGCACCAGAGGTATTTGTAGGAATCCGTGGATCCCCACACAATGTCAGTAGCAACCAAAGCATCTGTAGGCACAGGAGTAGATTCCCCAGGTGTCAGCCACACCTCTTCCTGGTTCAGTTTCTCTCCAGTGACTGGACAAGATGGTGCTTCCTTGTCTCCCTGGGGAGGCCCCAGGGCAACGGAGATGAGGAAGGAAGGCTTGAAAGCCTATACCTTCCAGCTGCCCTGCTCCCCATCGGCTGCAGGCTGAACTGTGCTCAGGAAGGTGAATTCTACTCATCACAGCCTGGGTGTGTGACCCTTGTCCTTAGTCCACATGGACAGCAAGAGGGCAATGCTGTTTCTGCTGGCCATGGCAACAACATCTGGCAAACAATAGGCCCTCGATACATGGAGGGCCAGGAGGATGGCTCACTGGGTACCACTGGGCAATCTGATCCTCACGTGGAAGAGAACCAGCTCCCACAGTGGTCCCCTGACCTCCACGTGTGTGCTGTGGCACACGTGTCCCACAACTGAAGAAGCGAACAGACGGAGGTGGGTGGCATGTGCAGACGAGAGGACCGGGCAAGGCTCCCAGACAGTCCTGTCTGCAGGGCAGAACCAAAGTGCCCTTTGACCCCCTTCCCACGTGTTTCCAGAGGCTTCTCCTCTGCTGAGTCTGGAGGTGTGGGGGGAGGGGCTTTGCTGCTGAAGTAATACTCACTACCCGTGTTACAGAAGAAGCCCAACCTCCTCCACAGGGCCTGTGGGAAGGCGCTA